ACACACACACACACACACACACACAAATACATAAGTTCAGCAAGTTTGCAAAATCAGTATACAAAATCTTTTGTATTTCTCTATTCTTTCAGAATATACTCAAAAATGAAAATAAGAAAACAATTTCATTGATAATAGCATCAAAAAGAATAAAATGCTTGAAAACTGGGGGTTAGAAAGAATTTATTTTAATTTTTTTTAAAAAGAATAGAATGTTTAAGAATAACAAAATAAAAAAACACTGTGAAAGGAATTAAAGAAAACTCAAATAAGTGAAAAGACTTCTCAGGTTCATGGATCAGAAGACAATATTAAGATGCCAGTACTACCCAAAGTGACATAGGAGTTCAGTGGAATTCCTATAAAAAAGACCCAGCCACCTTTTGCAAAAACTGAAAAGCTGAACCTATAATTCATATGGAAATATAAAGGACGTAAATAGCCAAAATAATCTTGGAAAAGAAGAACAATGGTGGAGGACTCACACTTCAAATTTCAAAATGAAGCTACAATAATCTGATCTTGGTTGAAAGTCCATGTAATTTATTTTAAAAAAAAAAAGATACAGTAATGAAGACAGTGTAGTACTAACCCAAGGACAGAGAGCTAGTGAGTGTATAGACTGAGAGTTGGGAGAAACCTTCACATTTATGCTCAACTGACTTCCTTCAGGAGCACCAAGACAATTCAATGGTGAAAAGTCTTTTCAACAAATACTGTTGGGCCGGGCGCGGTGTCTCACACCTGTAATCCCAGCACTTTGGGAGGCCGAGGCGGGTGGATCACGAGGTCAAAAGATCGAGATCATCCCGGTCAACATGGTGAAACCCCGTCTCTACTAAAAATACAAAAATTAGCTGGGCATGGGGGTGCATACCTGTAATCCCAGCTACTCAGGAGACTGAGGCAGGAGAATTGCTTGAACCCAGGAGGCGGAGGTTGCAGTGAGCCAAGATTGCGCCATTGCACTCCAGCCTGGGTAACAAGAGCGAAACTCCGTCTCAAAACAACAAAACAAATACTGCTGTAACAACTGGATATTCACATTCAAGACAATGAAACTAGACCTCTTCCTCACATCATACACAAAATTAACTTCAATGGGTTGTAAATTTAAATACAGGAGTTAAAACCACTAAAATCAGCTTAACAATAACCCACAACACTCAGACCAACTAAAACTCCTACAATCATAGCAGTAAAAGTCAGGAGGAAATCTTTGTGACCGTGGATTAGGCAACGGTTTCTTAGATATGACATGCAAAACAAAAGCAACAGAAGAAAAACCAGACAAATTGTGTTTCGTAGAATTTGAAAACTTGTGCTTCAAGACACCATTTAGAAAGTGAAAGACAACACATGGATTGCTAGAAAATATCTACAATTCATATATCTGAGAGGCGCTTACAACTAGAATACCTAAAGAACTTCTACAACACAATAATAAAAAGATAAGCAACAATTTTAAAGTGGACAAAAGATTTGAATAGACGTTTCTTCAAAGATACACAAATGCTCAATAGGCACATGGAAAGGTGCTCAGCATCATTAGTCATTAAGAAAGGACGAGTCAGACCCACAATGAAATACTACTTCACATCCGCTAGCATGGCTATTCATAAAAAAGACAACATGGCGGGTGCAGTGGCTCACGCCTGTAATCCCAGCACTTTGGGAGGCAGAGGTGGGCGGATCACAAAGTCAAGAGTTCGAGACCAGCCTGGCCAATATGGTGAAACCCCATCTCTACTAAAAATACAAAAATTAGCCAGGTGTGGTGGCAGGTGACTGTAATCTCAGCTACTTGGGAGGCTGAGGCAGGAGAACGAATCACTTGAACCTGGGAGGCAGAGGTTGCAGTGAGCTGAGATCGCGCCATTGTACTCCAGCCTAGGCGACTAGAGCCAGACTCCGTATCAAAAAAAAAAGACAATATTAAATTTTCTGTTGCAAAATTGGAACTCTCAGACACTGCTGATAGGAATCTAAATGGTGCAGCCACTTTGAAAAACAGTCTGGCAGTTTCTCGACAGGTTAAACAGCTATCATATGACCCAGCAATTCCAATCCTAGGTATGTACCTGATATGGTTTGGATATTTGTCCCCTCTGAATCTCATGTTGAACTGTAATCCCCAATGTTGGGAGTGGGCCCTGGTGGAAGGTGTTTTCGTCATGGGGGCAGATGTCTCATAAATGTCTTGGTGCTGTCCTCATGATAATAAGTGAGTTCTCACTCTGAGTTCACAAGAGATCTGGTTAAGAGTGTGGCACTGCTCTTGCCATGTGACATATGCCAGCTCCCTTTGCCACGACCATAAGCTTCCTGAGACCTCACCAGAGGCCAAGCAGATGCTGGTGCCACACTTCCTGTGCCCAGGTAATTTTTTAAATTTTCTGGAGACACAGAGTCTCACTATGTTACTCAGGCTGGTCTTGAACTCCTGGGCTCAAGCAATCCTCCTGCCTTGGCCTCCCAAAGTGCTGGGATTACAGGCATGAGCCACCACACCCAGCCCAGTATTTCTTTACAGTGATGCAAAAATAGCCTACACAGTGCCTATGTATACACTTCTACGTATAAAAAACTGGATAGCTTATGTCCAAACAAAAACTTGCACACAAATGGTCATGGCATCATTATTCAAAATAGCCAAGAAGTAGACGACCCAAACATCCAGCAATTGAAGAACAGATGAACAGAATGAGGTATAACCACACAGAAGAATATTACTCAGTAGTACAAAGTAATAATACAGGTCACATTTCAACATGGCTGAACTTTGAAAACATATGCTCAGTGAAAGAAGCCCCAGTCACGAAAGACCACATACCATATGATTCCTTTTATATGAAATGTCCACAACAGGCAAATCCACAGAAACACAAAGTAGATTAGAGTGTTCCAGGGGCTGGAGGTGGAGGCAGGAGTGGGAACATTGGCCCAGAGGAGAAACGGGAGGGACTTGGCTCTGGAGTTTCTTTTGGGGGTGACAAAAATGTTCTGAAGTTAAATAATAGTGTTGGATGCACAATTTTGTGGATGTACTAAGTACCACTGAATTGTATGCTTTAAAAAGGAGAATCGTATTGTATGTGAATAATAGCTAAATAAAGCTGTTTTAGAAAACTATAACAAGAGAAACTGCTCACATCAAGTGGAAAAGTCATGAGATACAATTATAACTGAGCTTACAATGAATATATATTAAAACATACAAATGTAAAACTTTTTTCCATAATAATAAAAAAATGGAATGATATATACCAAAATATCCATAGTAGCTTCTAGATGACTAGGAACTCAACTCCTCCTTTTTTTTTTTTTGAGACAGGGTCTTATATTCCAATTGCTAAGGCTGGAGGGCAGTGGCACAATATCAGCCTTAACTTCCCCACCAAGACTCAGGTGATTCTCCCACTTCAGCCTCCCAAGTAGCTGGGACTACAGGTGCACTCCATCATGCCGGGCTAATTTTTTTTTTGTATTTTTTTGTAGAGACGGAGTTTCGCCATGTTATCCAGGCTGGTCTTGAACTCCCGAACTCAAGCAATCCACCTGCTTTGACCTCCCGAATGCTGAGATTATAGGCATCAGCCACCATGCCCAGCCTTTGCTGTACTTTCCAAACCACAGTGGCCAACCTTGTTGGTATCTGGCTGGTGTTCCTTCCTTCATGGAATGGCCCCTGTGGCATCTTGGGATCCTGTCTCAGGCTCTGCTTCAAGGATACCCAACCCAAGACACACACTTGTGCATCACTTTCTAGTTTATAAAGCACTTCCACATGCAACAGAGTATTTTATCCTCACAACCCTGGGAGGGCAGTATTACTATTCCCATTTTATAGATAAAGAACTGAGACTCAGTTGTGTAATGCCAGTGATGAGTTCAGCCCATACATATTTGTAGACAGAAAACAAATTCCGTGAAGATGTCTTATTCAGAGGTACTTCCCCTAAGACGAGGGTATAGGAAGAGCAGACCTGGAGGCTCAGCAAACTTGCTGGCCCCATACTCCTCATCTATACAGTGAGGGATCAGACCCGAGCAAGCTCACAGCTCTCTTCTAGCTCCAACAGCTGTCAAGTCCCTGGCTTTCTCAGTAAGCATTTTCCAGTTTGTTCCAAACACATCTCTCTAAATACTACCACTAACGATGGCTTTTCTGTGACCAGGCTGTCCCACCACAAAATGACCACTCCATAACCAGTTGAGCAGGGGTCAGAAAAGGGGTCAGCTGAGTAAGACGGAATTGGGAATTTCAAGCAATTCTAGAGAACGATAAAATGCTTACAGTAAAGATGCAGTTTAGAAAAAAATAATAGCAATAATCCAGTAGAAAAATAGGGGTGGGAGTATCCATGTATCTTCAGAGTGCTGAGAAATTAAAAATTCATTGTGTTTTGGCTGGGTGCAGTGGCTCCCTCCTGTAATCCCAGCACTTGGGAGTCCAAGGTCGATGGATGACGAGGTCAGGAGATCGGGACCAGCCTGGCCAACATGATGAAACCCTATCTCTACTAAAAATACAAAAATTAGCCAGGCATGGTGGTGCACACCTGTAATCTCAGCTACTCAGGAGGCTGAAACAGGAGAATCGCTTGAACCCAGGAGGCAGAGGCTGCAGTGAGCCAAGATCACGCCACTGCACTCCAGCCTGGGAAACAGCAAGACTCTGTCTCAAAAAAAAAAAATTCACTGTGTTTTTATGTAAAGTGAAAAGATGAGGGTAAAATGAACTCTGTGAATTCCTGGAGCGTTGCCCCGCACTCGTTTCACTGTCAGGAAATGCGCCATTCCTTCCTGCGTTTCCTAGAAAGCTGCTCTTTCCTACGCCAGCGTTCTGACTTTCATTGAAACACTCACAGTAACTGTCTTTCTCAAGGTCCCCTTCTGTTTCTTATTTCAGGGAGGACTTGGCCCTCCAGTGATTTTAGCAAAAGATGTGAGTAGTATTTACTCTTAGCCACAGACATGTGCTAAGCATGAAAACTTACCTCATCATCATCCATTATATTTTCCTTAGCGAAGTCATACAGCTCCTTCTGGAGTGTAGTCACGTTGAAGAACTGAACTGCTTCCTGTGCAGACACAACAGAGAACAGTTTATATGGCCAACCTTTTCATCTTAGAACCGGGAGGAGGGAGGAACAGGATATGGGATTTTTTTCTAAGGTGATGAAAATGTTTAAAATTAGATAGCGTTAACGGTTGTACAACTGTGAATACACTGACAACCACTGAATTACACACTTGAAAAAGGTAAATTCTATCCTATATAAATTATATCTCAATTTTTTTAAAAAAGAGTGGCCAGTCCTGAGTGGACAATGAATTACTGAAAACCAAAAGCATATAGAAATCCAGTGAAAATACAAGTTAAGGGCAAAGATCAATTAGCAAAAACCTTTGGAAAGTAATATATAATTAATGGGGTTCGCTGACAACACAGCTAAGTGGTGACTTTGCCTATCAAGGGAATTAAATGATGGTCCATCCACAAAAGAGCCTACTAGGGAATTGTTAAAGAATAACAATTAAGAAGATATATGGGCCGAGAGCTCCTATAATCCCAGCACTTTGGGAGGCTGAGGTAGGCGGATCACAAGGTCAGGAGTTCGAGACCAGCCTGACCAACATGGCGAAACCCTGTCTCTACTAAATATACAAAAATTAGCCAGCCATGATGTTGGGCACCTGTAATCCCAGCAGCTACTCGGGAGGCTGAGGCAGGAGAATCACTTGAACCCAGGAGGCGGAGGTTGCAGTGAGCCAAAATTGTGCCACTGCACTCCAGCCTGGGCAACAGAGCAAGACTCTGTCTCAAAAAAGAAAACAAGAAGATATATGGATGTGACATAGAGAAATATTCATGACGAATTGTTAGAAAGACAAAGAAAGTTGCAAAAAGTTGTAAAACTATGTAAATATGAGCTTGTTTTTATAAAAAAATACACAAACACTTACTGTATATAGGAGTAAATATATACCTTTAAAGCAGGGGGTAAAGAGAAGGCGCAGGCTGGGCGCGGGGGCTCACGCCTGGAATCCCAGCACTTTGAAAGGCTGAGGTGGACAGATCAGGAGTTTGAGACCAGCCTGGCCAATATGGCAAAACCCCATCTCTACTAAAAATACAAAAATTAGCCTGGTGTGGTGATACACACCTGTAATCCCAGCTATTCGGGAGGCTGAGGCAGGAGAATCACTTGAACCCGGGAGGTGGAGGTTGCAGTGAGCTGAGATTATGCCACTGTACTCCAGCCTGGGTGACAGAGCAAGACTCTGTCTCAAAACAAAATCAAAGAGAAGGTGCAGGATTATGACAGAATTTTGCTTTCCAAGTAACATATTTTTGTAATGTTTGAAATTCGTAGAGTTTTTACAGATTAGGAAATGAAAAGGAAGCAGTAAAATGCTAAAACACACACATACACAAAACTACAGAAAAGAAAATGAGTTTTTCTTTATTTCCAAAATAACCCTTTCTCTTAAGGTACACGGTGGTCTCCAGAAGGCGAGAATGAAGAGAAAAGGGAAGGTGTGGTGCACGGACGTACTGGTCTGGGCTGGAAGTGCTCATCTGAGAGGCCCCAAGCATCCCTGTGGTACTGGTAATACACCAGGTTCTGCTGCATGACCTTGTCATTCTGATCAAAGAGCAGGTAGCTGACTGCACAGAGTGCTGCGTTCTTCAGGTCGTTCACTGGGGTGGGGAAGAAAAGACAAACGAAGAAATCAGCAAACCACGCCCTGTCATTCCTCTCACCAGATTGGCTTTTAAGAAAAAGGTCATATGAACAAGCCTGTTCTCCAGAGAGCCTGGAGCCAATGGCAGCCCTGGGTGGGCAGGCCACAGACGGGGGTCTCCACGGCAGCCTGGAGGCCAGGCTTGAAACTTAGTTCTAGTTAGGCACACGCCTACAGAGAAATGGCTATGTTCTACCTCCAGTTCTGGTGACCCAAGCTGGTCTCGGGTCCCTGGAAGCAGCTGGAAAAAGCTGGACTGTCCTGGGGCTGAGGGAGACAGCAAGGACACGCTCAGCAAACAGGTTTCCCATTTGAGGCCCTCAGCGTCTGGGTCTCATCTGGCTGGGACCACAGTCTCCAGACCTAGGTTAGCTCCCCTACGGCTAAACCAGACCTGGAAAACCCAAAGGATGGTGGAGCCTGTGGGCTGGAGGGGTTTGGAAAGTCGCCTGTTTTTGCCATCTCCTGCGGATGGAACTCCCACCTCCAGCCTCTGCGTGGTTTTGCCCACCTATGACAGTACCTTCAGCATAGAGAATTTGCAGGGCTTGGGATCTGTCTTACGAGTGCAGGATAAGGAGGGCGAGGTGATGAGACACAAGCCCCAGGTATTTATTCTGGCACATTCCACTCTAATATACACCAAAATACCTTTGTAAAACAGCGGTTGGCCAGAGTAGCCAGAGCTTGGGTATGAATACATTGTGCCACCTGGTGGCGGTTTCCTGTCATGGCTACTTTAAAGCCAGCCCTTAGAGGCATTTACTCTTCAAATATAAACACCACCACCTGCCCTCAAGCAATGTAGTACAGTAAGCGGTCTAGAAAAGATTCAAAACGGGGCAGAGTTTCAGGCAGCTAGTTTCAGGAAGCACATTTCATGCATACTGTTGATCCCAGAAGGCAAAGATTTCCTGGGAAGCAGCAAGCATAGCTAGAGGCCTCAGGCTGCCAGTGTTTATGTCTTTCCCACGGTTTCTGATATGTGGGGAGGTTTTCAGGGCGTGTGAGAATTTCAGAGCACAGGGGAGCTGCTAGAGCCTGGACGTGTCCAGAACACTTCTAACTTCCTAGTGTTCTAGCTTTGTGCATTTAGAACCAAGCCATGCTCAGTGAGCTAGAAGGCATTACGGCTTTTTATATTTATATAATACATATTCTTTTCCCTTTTTTGACCTTCAGAATGCAAGGCTTACCCTGTGTCCTCAAGAGGATGGGAGCTGGGATAAAGAGGAAACCTAACAAAAACCACAATTACCACAGTGGGAAAGGAGGGCTAAAGCCAAGATCACCTCTCTCACTCTTCCCAGGGCACCCTGAGACCAGCCAATCCCAAGTGTGAAGGGGCGACCCAGGGCATCTACTCTAGCCAGAAACCTGCCACCACTAGACCCTGGCACTTCATTAGGGCAGAAGAGTTCCTGCTGCCACTGACCCTAATGATTCTCCTGTGCTTGGAATCGAACTGCCACTTAAACAAGTGGCCCTTGGCAAAGTCAGGTACAGGAAGAGGAGGAGGAGCCAAAACACACAGGCTCTGAAGTCTAACCCTGAACTCCCTTCTCATTGTCCACGAGAACATTCTGACTGAGAAACTCCCATTTCAGGTCAAGGGAGGACCAACTAGAATGAAACTAACAGGCCAGGAGCAGTGGCTCACACCTGTAATCCCAGCACTTTGGGAGGCCAAAGTGGGTGGATCACTTGAGGTCAGGCCAAAGTGGGTGGATGACTTGAGGTTAGCCTGCCAACATGGTGAAATCACATCTCTACTAAAAATACAAAAAAAAAATTAGCCAAGCATGGTGGCGCATGCCTGTAATCCCAGCTACTCAGGAGGCTGAGGAAGGAGAATCACTTGAACCCAGGAGGCAGAGGTTGCAGTGAGCCAAGATCACACCACTGCACTCTAGTCTGGGCAACAGAGCAAGATCCTGTCTCAAAAAAAAAAAAAAAGGAAAAAAAGAAACTTTACAGTCTGAAAAGTAAAGCCAGCGATGAGGAGGAAGGGAAATAATAATAACAAAAACAAACACACAGTGTGCTACATGCCAGTGTGGGAATACCCCAGACATTTCACATCTATTAACTCATTTAGTCCCCGCAACAATCCTATGAGGTTAGTGGTACAACCTCTATTCACAGACGAGGATAAAGCACAGAGAAGCTAGCAAGTGGTGAGGCTGAAAATGGACCCAGGCAGCGTAGCTGCAGGCTCTGCCCTGAATCACTAAGCCACGCTCCCTTTCTGTGCAAAGCATGGCACCAGGGCTGTCACTGTGACCTCCGTGAACTCTCAGCCACAGCTAAGAGCTAATACCTCTATTTTATAGTCTTAGAAAAACCAAGTGCCTCACCCAAGACATCACAGAAGATTACTTACACTTATAATAGGCAAACTGCAAGTAATGATACATGGTAGCCACAAATTTCTCGACTGGATAGCCTCCTATAACTGGGGTGAGGTTCTCTTCACACTGTATTTTGCATTCCAGAACTTCTATATAATGATCTGAAATAAAACATGCAAATTTTCAGAACAGTGCAGCCATCACTTTCTTAATACGCTCCTTCTGCCTCTTGCCCAAGATTATTAAAATGTCTAATAAACATGGTGAGAGATACTACCACCCTTAAAATAATTTCAACTATTAAATTGGCAAACATTTTTTAAAATTCATCACGTAGTATTAAGAAGAGTGAAACACTCAAATTCTGTTGGTGGAAGCAAAACAGGAACAAACTTTTTGGAGAACAATTTGGCAAGATTTATCAAAGGTTAAAATACACATACCTTCCAACCCAGCCGTCTGCTTCTAGGAAATTTTCTTTAGACATAGGCAAACATAAGCACTGTTTATAATGACACACGAACAAACTTGGAAGTATCTAAGTGCCAATAGACAGGATGGGAATTAATAGATCCTTGAAGGACGCAGGATAAGCTCTAGATAGTGGCCATGTGGACTGCATGGCATAAGTCATGTGTCAGCGTAAGTTGTAAACCTGTTGTTTTTAATAAACTGTCTTTGTTCTGCTCCTGCGTTTCATGTAAAAAAGTCAAACTTTGTCTTTGTTCAGTGCTCAGTTTTCAGATGTGAATCTGCTGAGCTGGTGCACCTACATAAAATCCTCCTGTTCAACCCATTGGTCTCACGGTCTCCTGAATTTCTGCAACATTTTGGTAAGCCAGCCAGGAGCGGAGACGTCTTCTTTGCCTATGGGCTTGGAACCCCAGGTCGGGGGAGACATGTGACCCCAGATGCCATCGGGAGAACTTAACCCAGAAGGGAGATCAGCTCTCCCATGACTTGGTGCCCTTCCCTGACAGCGCAACAGAACCTAAGGGGACACAGGACAATTCCAGGACAGCATGCTACAGAATCATGGTGAGATTTAGGGCTCAAGGCAGGACCTGTCCCATAAGGACAGAGGGGGAGCCTATAAACTACCAGGGTGTACTTAGTACTCCGACCCAGGACGTGAGAGTGGCTCACAAAGTTGGAAGAAACCTACACCCCAACTAAGGAATCTGGGAACGGGGAAGTGTGTGAAAGAGGTGGTTCCAAGAGGGACCAACATGGGGAGTGATGTGTGGGGGCCACAGGTCTCTTAGCACAGACTGTATGCTCCAAGTGAAGTGTGGGACCCACCAGGGCAAGGGGTGATCCGCATATAGCTTAGGGAGAGGCCCCACAATCTAGGTACTGTGGCGGAGGAACCCTCCACTAACACTAAGTGGCATCTGAAAACTTCCGAGGGGAAGACAATCTAATGCTCTGAAGTGAAAGGACGTGTGCATTGCACTGTAATTGGGAGGAAAATGGGGGAAAAGTCATCTAAAACTTCCCTGTTAGACTGTATGTTAAAGAACTTTAAGAAGGGTTATTCGGGGGATTATGGAACCAAGTTGAGCCCCCAAAGATTGAGGTTGAGAACTCACTGTGAGATAGAGATAGAACAACTCTTTTGTTGTCGGATGGCCGGCTTAAGACACTGTAGGGAAACAACCGGCCGTGTATTTAGGGTGGTGACTGGAGTCGAAGAACAGCCAGGGCATCGGGACCAATTCCCTATATTGACTCATGGCCAAATATAGTTCAAACCCAACCTGCGTGGCTGCAGCCCTATTTGGCAGATTACTGCAAAAACACTCGTAGCACAAGCCGAGTCGAAAGTGAAAGAGAATTCAGCCTCATAGTCAGCTGCAAGTGCAAAAGGAGAGATGCAGGAAAAGTCAGTTCTGCAGGCACCGCCAGAGGAGAGAGAAGCCCCTCCTCTCTATAAACCAATCTATCCTCCTTTACCACGGAGTCAAGTTCAGATGGTGACACACCCCAGGCTTCACCTAGAAGGGAAGAATCTGAGCCCTGCCCCAGGAAGTCAGAGAGGAAGGTCAGGATGATCAAGCAGGCCACCTTTGATCTGGAGGCACCAGAGCTATGCAAATGCCACCCCAAGAAACATGGGGACCTATCTACTATGATGATCAGGGCCAGATTCAAGGGGGTAGACCGACTCTTGTTTACCAGCGCTTCTCAACCTCCTAAACTGGAAACACCATACTCCCTCCTACACGGAGAAGACCCAGGCATTCACGGATCTGATGCAGTCCATTTCTCAAATACACAATCCAACTTGACCAGATTGCAAGTAGCTTCTCCTAAGACTGCGTAACAGTGAGGAGTGCCGAAGGGTCCCTCAGGCAGCCCTTTGCCGGCTAGAGAGCAATGTGCTAGAGGACACTGATAATGTCCAGGCATATGCTCAAAACCAGTTCCCAGAAGCAGACCCACACTGGGACCCAAATGACGTAACCCAGTTTCAGCACCTGCAGAGGCACCGAGAGGCACTCCTGCAAGGGCTGTGAGCAGACAAAAGAGGGCTATTAACATAACGAAAATCTCAGAAGTGTTGCAGGAAGTTAGGAAAGTCCCAGTCTGTTCTATGAGAGGCTCTGACACATTCTGGCTTTACACTCCGTTTTGACCCTGAGGCTGCTGAGCATCAGCATATGGTGAACACAGCATTTGTAGGGAAAGCCCAGGAGGACATTAGACAGAAATTACAAAAGCTAGTAGGTTCTACAGGCATGAATGCCCCCAGCTTACAGAATTGGCTACCAAGGTGCACGTTAATTGTGATGAAGAGGCAAGGAGGGAAGCTGATCAGAGGTTTAAAAGACAGGCTGATCTATTAGCAGAAGCCTTCATAGAAGGCAAGGGGGCGTGGGCATGGCAAGGGGTGTGGGCATGGCAAGGGGGTGTGGGCATGGCAAGGGGGCATGGGCATGGCAAGGGAGTGTGGGTATGGCAAGGGGGTGTGGGCATGGCAAGGGGGTGTGGACATGTGCCCAGACGTGGTTGTGGAGGGGGCCAAGTCGGGCTGGCTTGAATGCCAGCCAAGGCTAGATAAGGAGCAGTGTGCATGGTGCAAAAAGAAAAGACACTAGAAAAATGCATGCCCTGAGAAAGAAAACAGCAGCAACTATAAGACTGGAAAACTGCCAGTCAGAGGGCACTGTACCCCAAGAGAGTTGGACACTGGCTAGGTGAAGGATGCGGTGGCTCATGCCTGTAATCCCAGCATTTTTCAAATCAACGAATAGTGTACAGACCCTGAAGCAACTGCTTGTCAGACCTGGAAAGGTGGTCTCCAGACTCCCTTTTTGAGAATCTTGCTAATACCACCAACAGAAAAGCCTAAAGTGAGGCCAGGCGTGGTGGCTTATGCCTGTAATCCCAGCACTTTGGGAGGCTGAGGCGGGTGGATCACTTAAGGTCAGGAGTTTGAGACCAGCCTGGCCAACATACTGAAACCCCATTTCTACTAAAAATACAAAAATTACCCAGGTAATTTTTGGTGGTGGCAGGTGCCTGTAATCCCAGCTACTCAGGAGGCTGAGACAGGAGAATCTCTTGAACCAGGGGAGCAGAAGTTACAGTGAGCCAAGATTGTGCCACTGCACCCCAGCCTGGGGAACAGAGCAAGACTCTGTCTCAAAATGATAATAATACCTAAAGTTATCCATTGCAATATTACGTGTGATAGGAAAAGACGAGAACAACCCAAATGTCTATCAGATCGTTGAATAAACTATAGTGCTTCACACACTCACTCCAGCGGAGTACCTGACAACGAATAAAGAGTAACAGTCCCTGTGTACTCAGCTGGATATGTCATTCGGTGCAAAAGGCAAGTAAGAGTAAGTATGGTGCCCGTTCCATACAAAAGAAGCAAACATAGAAACAAGAAAATACATGTTTATATATATACACAAACATGATAAAAAACACGACGCAGGCGAGAATTTTCCACAGACACTAAATCAGCAGGGGGTGGGAGGGGAGCACAGAGCTTGATGAGCAGTGAGTTGTCATGGTCTTGCTGTGAATAAATAATTTCAAAAGTAAAACCACTAACTGTTCTGTGGAAAAACTAAAAGCTAGAAAATACCTTAAACGCTTAAAAATTAACATCTACAATAAGGGGGCCAACAAACATCATGCACACCTTGACATGGTATGCGGAGGAGGACATTTATACAGCGGTCCAGCCAGAAACACACAACCTGAATATAATTGTGAAGACACATCATAGAAACCCGAACTGAGGAATGTTTGTAAAGTAATTAGCCTATATTCTTAAAATATATCCTTGGCATAAAAAGACAAAGAAAGGCCAGAGGATTGTTCCGGATTAAAGAATACTAAAGGAAGTTGACAAATAAATAGGAAACATGATTCTGAACTAGAACCTGTACCAGGAAAAAAACTGGTGCTGGAAAGAAGATTACTGTGACAACTGACAAAATGGGAATGTGAACTACAGACTGAATAAAAGGACTGCATCTAGTGTGTTGTTTCCTGGATTTAATCACTGTGGATATTTAGATAATATTGTTGTTCTCGGGAAACAAACTGAAGTGTTACAGGGTAAGAGGTAATAATGCATCCAACCTACTTCCGAATAGTTCCAAAATAAAAATAATTATACACAGCCAGGTATGGTGTCTCACACCTATAACCCCAGCACTTTGGGAAGGCAAGGCAGACAGATGACTTGAGTTCAGGAGTTTGGGACCAGCCTGGCCAACACAGCAAAATCCCATCTCTACTAAAAATACAAAAAACTAGCCAGGTATGGTGACGCCCACCAGCAGTTCCAGCTACTCAGGAGGCAGAGGCAGGAGAATCCCTTGAACTGGGAGGCAGAGGTTGTGGTGAGCTGAGATGGCACCACTGCATTCCAGCCTAGGTGACAGAGCAAAACTCCATCTCAAAAATAAAATAAAATAATAACAATAATTATACACACAGCACATATGGAGAAAGTGATAAAGTAAACTTGGCACAATCGATGTTACAAATTGGTGAATCTAGGTAAGGTGTACATGAGAGTTCTTTGTACAATTCTTCCGACTTCTCTGCAAGTTTGAAATTATTTAAAAATAAAAAGAACCTCTAAACATCTATATATCCATAATGTGAGAGGAAAATCAGTCTCAGGACCCCAAAATCACTAAGCCAAAGGGAAATGTCAATCTGGGAACCACATAGGGCAAACTTGTTCCTCATCCTATTTCTAAATAAGATAGCTAAAAAGATTAAAAAAAAAAAAAGCTACAAATTTCTCTTCCCCCTCTCCCCCCAACAGAGTATCGCTCTTTTGCCAGGTGCCAGGCTGGTGGGCAGTGGTGCCATCTTAGCTCACTGCAAACTCCACCTCCCAGCTTCAAGCAATTCTCCTGCCTCAGCCTCCCGAGTAGCTGGGACTACAGGCACGTGCCACCACGCCCAGCTAATTTTTGTATTTTAGTATTTTGTATTTTAGTTTCACTATGTTGGCCAGGATGGTCTCAATCTCTTGACCTTGTGATCCGGCCACCTTGGCCTCCCAAAGTGCTGGGATTACAGGCGTGAGCCACTGTGCCCAGCCACAAATTTCTCTTAGAATTTACCCGTAAGGACATTTTTGTGGACAAAGGACAGGCAGACCTCAAAGTCATCCCTTTGCTCACATGGGACAAATGCATATCTGATTGCTTTGCTTTGCTCTGCTGTTTCACTAAGCCAGACTACAGCAAAAGTGACTATTCCTGTGAATTTCATATTCAGTGAAAGGCTAATCAGAAACTCAAAAAAAATACAACTGTTTGTCCCTTACCTACCTATGACCTGGAAATCCCCTCCCTACTTAAGGTTGCCCTGCCTTCTGGACTGAACCCATGTACATCTTACATATATTGATTGATGTCTCATGTCTCCCTAAAATGCATAAAACCAAACTGTACCCTGAGTACCTTGGGCATATGTTGTTAGGACCTGAGGCTGTGGCACGAGTACATTCTTAACCTTGGCAAAATAAACTTCCTAAATTGATTGAGACTTGTCTCAGATACTCTCCGATTTATAATACATATATCTTAGCTATATCAAAGATAGATGGAGAGAGGCGGCAGATGTTACGTGCCTCCTGATGGAAGAACTCAGCATCAGCTATGAAGCAGTCGACTCCCACCAAACCCCGCCCCCCCACAAAAACAAAATCAAATCGAGCCTGTTCAAGCCTCTACATCCAATTACTGATTTACAAGAAATATAGAAGACAGAGGAACATGGGAATATGGTCAGCAAAACCCAGACGCTGGGAATCTCTACAGGACAAAAAATGCAGGTCCTTGAACAGCAAGGAGGAAAAGACAAGGCAGAAGAACCTATGGTTTAAATGAGACTAAATGATAACCAACTTGCTACAGTGTGGACGACACCTGACGACCTTATGCCGAGTGAAATGAGCTAGTCACAAAAAGGCAAATACTGTCCGAGTCCACTTAGATGATGGATCTAAGTAGTCAAATTCCCAAAGACAGGAAGCAGAAAGACCTTTCTACTTCCCCCAGTGGCTGGGGGAAGGGGAAATGGGCAGTTACTGCATTTTTACAGAGTTTCAATTTGGGGTAACATAAAAAGTGCTAGGGCTGGACGGTGCAGACGGCTGCACAATCGTGTGGATGCAGTCAACGCCACTGGAGTGTACACTGAATGATGGTTAAAATAACAAAGCTCATATTACGCATATTTTACTACAGTACAAATTCTCAAAAGATAACCCATCGCAATGGATGGATCCTGATTCAAACACACGGCAAATTAAAAGCACACACACATATTTATGACATTTCTGAAATAATTAGTACACTATTTAGGTATTTCATGATGACATCAAAAAATGACTTAAAATTCTACAGGTGTAATAGATTGTTGTTCTGTTTAAAAAACAGAGTCCTTACCTTCTAAAGGCATATACTCAAGTATTATGAATGAAATAATATGGCATCTGGAATTTGCTTCAAAATAACATGAGAGGAAAAGTAGGTGGGAATTAGATGAAGACAAAGTGGCCATGAGATGCCGATCACGAAGTTAGGTCACGGGTACATGGTGGTTTATTATACTCTTCTCTCTGTTTTTGTATATGTTTAACATTTTCCTTAATAAAAAGTTTTCTTTTTCTTTTTCTTTTTTTTTTTTTTTGAGACAGAGTTTCGCTCTTGTTACCCAGGCTGGAGTGCAATGGCGTGATCTCGGCTCACCGCAACCTCCGCCTTCTGGGTTCAGGCAATTCTCCTGCCTCAGCCTCCTGAGTAGCTGGGATTACAGGCACGCACCACCATGCCCAGCTAATTTTTTGTATTTTTAGTAGAGACGGGGTTTCACCATGTTGACCAGGATGGTCTCGATCTCTTGACCTCGTGATCCACCCGCCTCGGCCTCCCAAAGTGCTGGGATTACAGGCGTGAACCACCGCTCCCGGCCATAAAAAGTTTTCTTAAGGCAAAAACAAAACAAAACAAAACAAAACAAAAAACCCTACTTTGTAGAAAGAGATTAATGAATAAAAAGTGACTGGAAAAAGACAAAATCGAAAACCCTGGATTCAATCACTTTAAAAGAGCTTCTCTAATCCCAGCACTTTGGAAGGCCGAGGCAGGCGGATCGCGAGGTCAGGAGACAACACCCTCTGGGCTAACACGATGAAATCCTATCTCTACTAAAAACATAAAAAATTAGCTGGGTGTAATGGCACGCGCCTGTAATGCTAGCTACTGGGGAGGCTGAGGCATGAAAATCGCTTGAACCCAGGAGGTGGAGGTTGCAGTGAGCTGAGATCACGCCACTGCACTCCAGCCTGGGTGACAGGGTGAGACTTTGCCTCAAAAATAAATAAATAAAAGAGCTTCTCTACTGCACGATTTCTAAGGGCCTTTAACCATTAAAATGCACAGTGATTCTTCAAGAGGGAGACGTAGTGCTCAGCCCATTCCCAGACTTATTTAACAAGTATACAGATACAGGGTACAGTCCAGATTTTACTTATCTAGTCTTTTCTGGGAGGCACAGTTCTAGGATCAGTGTTTTCAAACCGCTTTGGGAAAGAGCCTCCCTTAGCCATTTCCCAATTTCTGTAAGGACGCTGCCCAGTAGAGGCACTTGGGAAATATCTAGGTACTACGGAGAAATCTGGGCTACTTATGCATAGAGTTTTACATTTTCTTCCTTTCTTTATTTTTCCTTTCTGTGTTTTCCAAACTTCCTAGGCATACATTCTTTTATAATCAGAGAAGAGACTTAATTTTTAATCAGATTTAAATTTTAATCAGATTAAAATTTTTTTTAATTGCATTTTAGGTTTTGGGGTACATGTGAAGAACATGCAAGACTGTTGCATAGGTACACACGTGGCAGTGTGATTTGCTGCCTTCCTCCCCATCACCTATATCTGGCATTTCTCCCCATGCTATCTCTCCACAACTCCCCACCCCCCACTGTCCCTCCCCTATTTCCCCCCATCAGATTTAAATTTTAATCTTTTATAATCAGAGAAGAGATTTTTAATTCCAAAAAGTTGCCTTACTGATAGCTCATTCTACCTCTGTCTGTGTTGGAAAATTCCTGTAATCAAAGTTATCTCAGTAGCATGAGTCACTGAGGTGCCCTTGGGCCCATTTTTATTTTTCAAAATGCCTGTAGGAAATCTGTAAGCAGGTAGGGCAGATACAGAATTCTACCTTCGCAGACCTGTGCTTGAACCTTCTCTCAGTGATCTCACTAGAAGCCCCTGCCAAGTCAAAGGCTTATCTATGCAGGTGGCGACTACCCTCAGTTACCCATTAATAAATGAGCTCCAAAGTTCCTCAGAGGCCACTCCAGGCATCTAGAAGGAATGCAGGCAGATAGCAGACATCTAGGGAAGACTATTTCATGGGAGTACCGAGCTGATGGACCCACCACCAACCTGCTATGGAAAGGTAGAAGTCCTTGAAGTCCTTGATCTCCCTGGAACCCTCGCAGGCTGCGAGACACTCGTAAAAGGCCTTGAAGAAGTCGGGAAGGGCCAGCTCCATGTCTGTGATGGACGTTCTCCAGTTCTCACCGTTGTACGCCCGCACTGCTCGGATAAACAGGCTCTGAAAAGCAAGGAGAAGCCAGTGAAGCTTGCCCCTAGGCATGAAGGGAGACCCGTGAACTCTCAAAGGGAATCAAGACCACCAAGCTCACTCTCATTAGTTCTGAAGAAGCCACACTGACCCTTAGAGAAGCCAATGGGGAGTTACTTTATATATGGATTTTTCTACCCTACTGATGATGAGTATGCTTCTTATTTAGTTCAGCTCAAAAAGTAGCAGGTCCTCAATAATAAAATCAAGTTTGAGTCAAGGAAAAAGGGAAAACTATGACAGACATCAGATCAGCAGCTGCCAGGAGTCAGGGGTTACAGGAAAAAGTTGCTCAGGGGTGGTGAAAACATTCTACGTGTGACTCTGGTGGCAGTTACAGGACTGGAGGTATTTGTCCAAACTTACTGAATTATACACTTAAAATTGGTAAATACACTGTAAATAAATGATACCTCAACAAAGCTGGTTTTTAAAATGGAACAAAGGACATGGACACAGAGAGGGGAGTACTAAACACTGGGGTCTATTGGGGGGAAAAGGGGAGGGCCAGTGGGAGGGGGAGGTGGGGAGGGATAGCCTGGGGAGAAATGCCAAATGTGGGTGAAGGGGAGAAAGCAAACAAAACACACTGCCATGTGTGTACCTATGCAACTGTATTACATGCTCTGCACATGTACCCCAAAACCTAAAATGCAATAAAAAAATAATAAAAAAATTTTTTAAAAAATGGAACAAAGGAAAAAATGTAAGTTTGAGAGCAGGTATATTTCTATTCTCACTATCTATTCTCACACTGCTATAAAGAAATGCCTTCATCTGGCCAATATAGTGCAACCCCATCTCTACTAAAAATACAAAAATTAGCCAGGTGTTGGTCACACGCCTGTAGTCCCAGCTACTCAGGAGGCTGAGGCACAAGAATCACTTGAACACAGGAGGCGGAGGTGGCAGTGAGCTGAGATCGTGCCACTGCACTCCAGCCTGGGTGACAGAGAAGACTGTAAAAAAAAAAAACTGAGACTAGGTAATTTATAAATAAAAGATGTTTAACTGATTCATAATTCTGCAGGCTATATAGGAAGCATACCAGCTTCTGCTTCTGGGGAGGCCTCAGGAAACTTACAATCATGGCAGAAGGCAAATGGGGAGCAGCACTTCACATGGTCAGAGAAGAAAGAAGGGGGAGGGGGAGGTGCTACACACTTTTAAACAACCAGGTCTCATGATGACTCACTCACTCACTATCATGAGAACAGCACACAGGGGATGGTGCTAAACCATGAAGGATCCACCCCCAAGATCCAATCAGCTCCCACCCGGCCCCACCTCCAGCACTGAGGATTAAATTCCACATGAGATTTAGGTGGGGACACAGATCCGATCCATGTCAGCAGGTGTCTGTGACCCCACTTCCTCCAACAATGCAGGATAAACAGAAGTGCCATGCATCAGCACTAGCTACTAGGAAGGGCAACCACGTGCCAGAGAGTGGAAACTTCAAGGACTTTCTGCTAACTGGTGATCAGACTCACTAGAAGAGAAGTAACTAGGACCAAGGAAGCAGCTTGGTCTCCAAGAAATAAGTAGAGATCCTGGATACACACAAAACCTGCTAACTTGCAGAGGCCAGGACAGGCCCTGAATAAGCATGGGACCCTCCATTTGGAGTTCCTTCTCAGATGTTCCTGAATGTGGGTATCTGAGAGCCCCCCTTGGACCTAGAATTTTCACCAAGCTTAAGGCCTCAGGTAAAGAGGCTGAATTTTCTTAAGCCTCCTGGGCAGGCAGCATCCCCTGGAAATAAGACAGGCTGAGAAATGAAGGAGGCTTTCTGAAGAGCGCATCAATGAGCAGCAACTCCAGGCAGCTGGATCCGCAGAAGCAGCGGGGCGGTAGCAGCAGCAAGAAGGAAGCCAAGCAAGAGAGAGGAGCCCCCTGATCACACAGGAGGGCAGTCCGGCCACCCCAGAAGCGCTCCAATGAGCGCCAACAGGACTAGCTGACTTCCAGGTAAGCCCAGGGCACTGACCTCATACACTCAGCTTCGTTTCCCACACCCTATGAAAACAACGGCGAAGACAATGGAAATGCATAAATCGCTTTCATGGGAGGATGGAACGGGAGCAAGCAGCAGATAAGACTTCAACAACTTTTGGAAAGACAGAAAGCAAAATAGTCACAAAGGAGGGGTCAGAGGGGAAACAAGCTGTACGTCCATTGGCATGTGCAGGCATGAGGGACCACGGAAGGCTAGGGTTAGGCATGGAACTGGAAGCAGAACTGCAGTTTCGAACGGGCTGTTTGCTGGAGCCCTGGGTCCACTCCCAGGACCCACCTGCCCACCCAAGAGATCACATCTCCCAAAGCCACTCTTCACCAGAGACCAGTAGTTTATTCTAGAGACTTTTCCCATAAAGGCTGAGGAATCAGGGACCAGACAGCAGAGGCCAAGGTGGAGGCATGAGGCAGGTGAAGTCTTCTGACTCACCTGAGAGACCCCGTCCCCCTCCCCAGCCTGGCTCTCAGACACCAGCAGATGAGCATGTGCACCCACCAGCCCTGCAGAGGGCTGGTGGAGTCTTCCCTGGAACACTGACAGATATCCCCAAAAGAGACTTCCACACATACATTTTCCCCACCAGTGGAAAAGTGAGCCTGCGGTCTGAGCACTCTACAGAAAACCCTGTGGTCAGGACTTGGGAACTATAGCTCCTAGTGGATATTTTCTACATATCCCCGTTTTCAACAATGCCCGACTCTTACTTGCTACCCAGGCACCCAGTGCCTGAGTCCCAGAAGGCTTGACAATAGTGAGTGCTCAAAAGGGTGGGGCCCTTCTTTCCTACCGTTCTTTTTTTTTTCTTTGAGACCTTAATCACGTTTCATGCACCTCCAATCATCATGTTTCCTATTGTTCTTGTAACTAATTCTCATCAGATCTTTCTTTGTCAACGCGCAAATTTAAGCATCCTCTACTCGGCACATCAGCCTTCCTCACTCCTCTTTGTTTTCTACCTTAACATATTTGGGGCGTGTTTGTATGCAGGTACAGAAACATATGCCACCTTGTTTCATCAAAACGGGAGATTCATGTTTCTATTTCTTGTGTGCCTGGTCATTTTTAGATGACCTCCAAGACACGGCTTTAATCTACCCTCTTTAAACTAAATGATTAAATGACCATATTTCTAAAATGTAGCATTTAAAGGGAGCATGACTTAAAATCATCACGGCATGCAAAACAAAATGTCATTCTTTTTTTTTTTTTTTTTTGAGACAGAGTTTCACTCTTGTTACCCAGGCTGGAGTGCAATGGCGCAATCTCAGCTCACCTCAAACTCCGTCTCCTGGGTTTGGGCAATTCTCCTGCCTCAGCCTCCTGAGTAGCTGGGATTACAGGCACCCGCCACCGTGCCCAGCTAATTTTTTGTATTTTTAGTAGAGACGGGGTTTCACCATGTTGACCAGGATGGTCTCGATCTCTTGACCTCGTGACCCACCCGCCGCAGCCTCCCAAAGTGCTGGGATTACAGGCTTGAGCCACCGCGCCCAGCCAAAATGTCATTCTTAAATGGATCACTCTGTGCTAAAAGTCAATCATTTCTATTGTCATAATATTCAGCAAATGTCACCAAAAATCACTCAAGGTCTTTAGCTATCAGTAGCTGCTTATGGAGAGACATTTCTTTAACAGTCCACATTGCCAGTAACTGCCACGTGGAAATCTGCATGTACCTCATACGACTTGGTTTCCAGGTCTTTAATGTAGTCCTCAGCACCAGGCAGGCTCTTATAATACGCCATGTTCCTCTTCATCATTTCGTCATCAGGATGCTTCAGTAGGAAGGTGTGAGCAGCTGCGATGGCTTTTGGAAGATTATTTGCCTAACGACAAAGAACAGAAAAACTACTCCACGGATGCTGAGTGGTAATTTTTGTGAAACAAGAATATCTGCTCAGTCCTTCAGAAACTTTCTGTTGCTGTGATAACCTTTCCAGCTGAAGCTTCTGTGGCTTCCAGGGCCCCTCAAGACCAAGTCCGGCCACTGTGAGATGAGTGTTGATTTTCTGAAAGTGACTGTCCGGATGGCCTCCGTCCGCCTTTCCCAATCTACTCTATGCAGGCTACGCCTGTCGGTGCCCCAGGAGGCTGGGCTGTGCGGACTATAATAACAGACTCCCTCGCCCTCTGGCTTCCAAAGTGGTTCACCAGTGAGGAACCCCAGTAGGAGACTCAGGAAAGGAAGAGATAAGGTCTGTTATTTCATCTCCTGGCTCCCTCCCTGCACAGTCATCTTGGGCTGCTATGTCCCTTAATTGAAGGTCACAGCTCTTTTCAAGGTGGCCCTCGCCAGTCTCCCTCCTTCCAAGTTTCCATCATTGCTCTCTCCCCGGCCCCTCTTGGCCTAGGGATGGTCATATCCCACTGCTACCACTCCTGGGGCACGACACTATCCCTCATGGATTCCCCATGCACAGCACACACCTCTGTATATAACCATCTTCTTACACCCCTGGGGCACGACACTATCCCTCGTGGATTCCCCATGCACAGCACACACCTCTGTATATAACCATCTTCTTACACCCCTGGGGCATGACACTATCCCTCGTGGATTCCTCATGCACAGCACACACCTCTGTATATAACCATCTTCTTACACCCCTGGGGCACGACACTATCCCTCATGGATTCCCCATGCACAGCACACACCTCTGTATATAAACATCTTCTTACACCCCTGGGGCACGACACTATCCCTCGTGGATTCCCCATGCACAGCACACACCTCTGTATATAACCATCTTCTTACACCCCTGGGGCACGACACTATCCCTCGTGGATTCCCCATGCACAGCACACACCTCTGTATATAACCATCTTCTTACACCCCTGGGGCATGACACTATCCCTCGTGGATTCCCCATGCACAGCACACACCTCTGTATATAACCATCTTCTTACACCCCTGGGGCATAACACTATCCCTCGTGGATTCCTCATGCACAGCACACACCTCTGTATATAACCATCTTCTTACACCCCTGGGGCACGACACTATCCCTCATGGATTCCTCATGCACAGCACACACCTCTGTATATAAACATCTTCTTACACCCCTGGGGCATGACACTATCCCTCGTGGATTCCCCATGCACAGCACACACCTCTGTATATAACCATCTTCTTCAACTTTCCTCCAATTACCCAGCATTACTGCACCAAATCTCTTCCACTGGAACCTTGACTGTACAAATACACTGTTTTCCCAAATCTCCACAGACCTTCTGCTAACATTCTCATGATCCCAGCACCTCCTCACTTATTCATCCATTTGCACAGCAAATTCATGTCCTCTTACAAGAGCACCATTTCTAGGATGTGGGTCTATAACAACAAGCAAAACAGGGAAAAAAAAAAATCCCTGCCTGCATGGACCGTATATTCTGTCCAGTTCTCCGTCTCCCCGTGGCCTCTTAAGAACCTCTCTGTTGTGTTACTTTTGGGTTCTGTCTTCCCGTGTTTTACGCCACCCTGCAATCTGAGCCGGCATGTCTATTTCCCCCATTGGACTATGATCCTCAGGCGACCCAGCTGGGTATCATTCACTGTCTGAATTCCTGGTGCCTCACACAGTCCTCAGGACAAGGCACGACAAGGAAAGTAACTGTGATTTGAACATAATAACCATATAATAAAATTTATTCCTATTTTCCTCTCTTTGCCCCTTTCTCTTCTCTCCATTGAAGTGGGGGCCAATGATTCTGAGTTTCGCTGCCTCAGGAGAGGTAGGTGTCTGGTCAGAACCAGCACCTTTCTTCATTTGACAAAAGCCTGTGCTCATGGAAGAACTTGGCAGGTTTGAGGAGAGGAAGAAACTGGAGAGGAGCTACAGGAAGAAGCTGACTGGCCTGGAAGAAGAGGGAGAAAGGGAGTCTCGCAGGCTAGGAAACAAATTCCCCTTGAGATCTGTGGAAGCAGCAGGCCTGGGGGCCCCAGAGCTTCAGGGCTGGCACTTATTGGCAGAAGTCCTCAGGGAGAACAGGTGTATAATGGGGGGGCCTCAGGAGGGCAGGAAAATAGGGATGCAGAGGCCTCCCTGTGGGGACACATGACCACCAACTAGAGATTCCCCCACGCTGTGGACTCTTGACACACGTGGTAGGGAGAAGGGCATGTGCACAGAGACTTTTTCAGCCAATCCACAGGGACACTGAGGCAGGAATTAGGGAATTTGGTTTAGACAGAGAAAATACCCTAGATTGCTAAGAGTTATAGGACAGCATGTATCTGTACCAAATTGCCCCAGAACAGAAACCAAGTCATTTTGAGACAATGGCAGTGGCCACATCAGAGAAGCGGTGGGTGGTGATGAGAACAGACTCCCAGATGTCAATGCTGATGTTTTGGGAATGCCAGTTAGTGGCTTGTGGCAGGGCTGCCTTTGAAACAGCCCAGCAGAAAGCTTTATACTCCTGGCTGGAAAAAGGCTATAGTCTTCAGCCAGAAGGAAGGGAGAGGGTATGAATGTTGCCTTTTAAAGCATTGGCCAGTGAAATTAGAGTTGCTAATTCTTAGCACACTTAGAAAGAGGGGCACAGAGGCCAGTTGTGGTGACTCACGCCTGTAATCCCAGCACTTCGGGAGGCCAAGGCAGGCAGATCACTTGCGATCAGGAGCTCAAGACCAGCCTGGCCAACATGGGGTGAAACCCCATCTCTACAACAACAAAAAAAATTAGCTAGGTGTGGTGGCGTATGCCTGTAATCCCAGCTACTCAGGAGGCTGAGGCACGAGAATCACTTGCACCCGGGAGGCAGAGTGTCACTGCAATCCAACCTGGGTGACAAAATGAAACTGTGTCTCAAAAAAAAAATATATATATATATATATATATATTTATATATATATATATGTACACACACACATACAAAGATGGTACTTTACTGACTTTTAACTAAGTGTTACAAGACCTGTAAAGGGTTTTGAAGAGAAGTTATGACCATCCTAACCTTTTGGGGACACCATGATGAAGGAGAAAACCCATGCCTTATGGTTACATTGAGTAAAATGTTCTTCCCCTCCTCCCTATATCACTTGTTCAAATTCATTCTATGTATTAAAGAAATCAGAGTTTCTGGTATTCTCTAGGTTTAAAAATAAAATGTTTTCTTCTTGATTATGTGATTTAAATTTGGTTCAGACCATATTTGCCAAAAGTTATACAAAAAAAGAAATAGATAAGCCATTTTCAGCTTAAAAAATGGTGCTTTGTATGAAACAGCCCTCATTTTCAACATTCTGGAATTTTATTAATCTCATTCCCTACTTCTATTTTAAAACTGCCTTTTTTTAAATTGTCAGAACAAACATTCACAAAATTGATACTTTATGTAAAACTGTAACTAAGCATAGAAATAACGAAGGTTTTCTCCTCTTGGGGAGTTTTGTGTTATTTTATTGCTCATATGAATACAACATACATGTGGCTCTGTCTCAGTGGAAATATGAAAAACAGATCTTGTAGTCCAGAGACTGAAAACAAAGTTTAAAAACAAAACAAGAAAAAACTTCTAACTTAAGAGTCTGGGATATGCCATGAATCTATTTTTGTAGTAATTAAAATAAACACAATATATTCCCCTTAAAATCTTTCTCAACCAGAGAAAGTAGAAAGTAGAAGGGCTTTGAGAGGGTTCTTAGCCAAACCCTGTGAAGACCCATCAAACTAGAGACTCTTTAACTAATGACAGGGAATTCAACCCATTCTTAAAACTTGTGGGTCCTCAGAGTAAGAACCCAAGGATAGAAAACTGCAATTTGTGGCTATTTTTAGCCAGCAATCACAGAGAGAACTTAAGCAGCCATTAAAAGGTGGCAGTGAACTGTGTTAAATTCTAGATGAAAGAGGGAGACACCGCAGAGGGCCAATCTTGATGACTCACGGTGCATGAGTTACCCTTTAAGCAGGGACGTGTCCTTGCAAGGAGTCCCTGCCCTTCCTGGCCTTAATTTCGTCCTCTTTAAAAGGGACTAGTCAGCTGTGCGCAATGGCTCACGCCTGTAATCCAAACACTCTGGAAGGCCGAGGAGGGAGGATCACTCGAGTCCAGGAGTTCGAGATCAGCCTGGGCAACGTGGGGAAACCCTGTCTCTTCAAAAAATATTTTAAAAATTAGCCGGGTGTGGTGGCGCTGCCTATAATCCCAGCTACTCAGGAAGCTGAGGTGAAGGATCACTTGAGCCTGAGGAGGTCAAGGCTGCAGTGAGCCATTATCGCGCCTCCGCAGCCTGGGCGACAGTGTATCGCACCAAAAAATAAAAATAAAAGGGACTAGTCGGCTCCTCAGGTCTTCTGCTTTATTACCACAAGTCACCACTCACTTGAGGAAAAAGGCGACTTTAATGGTATATACAGAAAGAGGCGTCTGCCCTCAAATAACACAACATTTATCAGGCACTTTGTTGGGTGCCTGGCGCTGAGCTGCCTTCTGTGTACGTATTCTCTGCCTTAGAGCTACCCTTCAAGAAAGGCATTCTCATGTTCCACTAAGATGAAGAAGGAGAGGCAGGATTTGAAGGAGACCTTTGGCAGGGCCAGGTGAGAGGGAGCCAGGTCTAGAACTGTCGGTGCAACGCGGTTCCGGGCGCAGGGGCGGGGCCGGGGTCTGAAGGCGGAGGTCGGGGGCGGGGCGTGGTCTGGAGGCGGGGTTAGGGGCGGGGTGATGTCTGGAGGCGGGATCGGGGGCGGGGCTGGGGCTGGGGCTGGGGCTGGGGCTGGGGCCGGGGCGGGGCGGACTTGCCTTGAAGTAGGCGAACTGCAGGAATTTGTAGGGCTCGCGGCGCTGGAAGTCCGCCAGCACCTCGCGGCTGGGCTGGGACTGGCGGAAGGCGGGTAGGCCCTGCTTGCAGCGCTTAAGGCAGTGCGCCCGGCGCAGCAGGCCCCCGAAGAGGCGCAGCTCGGGATAGCTGGCGAGGTCGGCGGCGGGCTCGAGCCGCTGCGCGGCGCTGCAGTTGCGGTGGCAGAAGGCCTCGCTGTCGCGCAACAGGCGGTGCAGCCGCAGGCTGATCTCCAGGTAGCCCACGCTCTCCGCCCAGTGCTCGCCGCTGTACTTGTCCAGCGCGTGCCGGTAGGCCGACTCCAGCGGCATCAGCTCGTCCCGTGGGAAGCTGCGGAAGCTGTAGCGCTCGTACTGGGCGCGCCCGGCGCGCAGCGCGCAGCCCACGCACAGCAGCGCCAGCAGCGCCGCGGTCCCCCGGCGCCCAGGCTCCATCGCGCCCCGCGGAAGGAAGGAAGGAAGGAAGGGACGAAGGAAGGGAAAAGGGGAGGGAGAAGGAAAGAAAAGAGAACGGCGCGGCGCGGCGGGCTGAAAGCTTTCGGGGCGGGACGCCAGCCTCCGGCCCGCCCCGTCCGGCCGCCCCTCCCCACCCTGCCGGGGAATTTGGGCGCCAGCTGCCCGCGCAGAGGGGTGCCCGGGGAAGGCGCGCGACGCGCTGGTTCCTGCAGGCTGGTGCGTGTGATGGGGCTCAGCCGCTCTTTCACTTGGAGACCGGCCTGCAAGGCCGACGCTGCCCTAATAGATCGTAGATTAGCGTTACTAAAACTTTATAATCACCTGGAGGTTTGTGAAAACGTAGATTCCTCTGATTCAGAAAGTCTAGGGTGGAGGTCTAAGGATTTGTGTGTTTAACCAGCACCCTGGTGAGGCTACTGCTGCGGGTCCACGGGCTGCACTTTGAATAGCGCTGCCCAACCTTAGATTTTAGTGAGAGAAAAAGACATTGCAAAAATAAAATTAATAAAGATGTCAGTGGCACTTTGTAAATTGTACAGCTAGTCAGGTGGAAGATGTGCACACCTTATGAATCTGCGACTCCATTCTGTGGAATATGCTGGAGAAACTTGAGCGTGTGCATGAAAAAATATGGGCGGAATATTAGGGCGGCACTTTTCTGAAAGTCTTTAAACTTTTTAATCTTGAAATAATTTACAAGAAAGTTGCAAAAATAGTACAAAAAGTTTCTATATACCCTTCATCAGAATTCACAAGTTGCTGACGTTATACCACATTTCTATCTTTATGTTTTTTTCTGTCTCATTTTAGATAGGTTTCATACATCAGGCCCAAGGTCCCTTAGTGGTTTTTGTTTGTTTGTTTTTTGAGCGAGAATCGTACACTGACAACATCACATGCTGACAAGGATGCGGAGCAACAGAAACTCTCATTGACTGATGGTGGCAATGCAAAGTGGTACATTCACTTTAGAAGACAGTTTGGCAGTTTCTTACAAAACTAAGCATACTCTTCTCATGCAACCCAGAAACTGCGCTTCTTAGTATTGACCCAAATGGGTAAAAACGTATGCACAGACCTGCAAATGGATGTTTATAGCAACTTTATTCACAATTACCATAACTTGGAAGCAACCAAGATGTCCTTCAGTAGGTAAGGGGATACATAAACTGGTATATCCACACAATGGAATTTTATTCCAAGCTAAAAAAAAAAAATGAGTTCTCAATCCATGAAAAGACATATCTTAAAGGCATATTACTAGGTTGAAAGAAGCCAATCTGAAAAGGCTACATACTGTGTGATTCCAGCTATATGACATTCTGGAAAAGGCAAAACTACGGAGACAGTAGAAGAATCAGTGATTGCTAGGGAACGGGTTATGGAAAGGGTGGGATGGATAGGTGGAGGACAGAGGATTCTTGGAGCAGTGAAACTATTCTATATTGTACTGTAGTGGTGGATACATTTCATACATTTGTTAAAATCCATAATATGCACAACACTAAGAGTGAGCCCTAATGTGAACTGTGGACTTGGGGTGATGAGGATGTGTTGGTGGAGGTTCATTGATGGTAACAAATGTACCATTCTGGTGCAAGATGTTAACAATGTGGGAACTTGGGCATGTGTAGGGTCATGGAGTATGTTTGAACTCTGTACTTTGCGCTGAGTTTCTCTGTGAATCTAAAACCACTCTAAAAAACAAAGTTTTGTTTTTTTTTTTTTCAAAGAACACAGGCCAGTTACTTTATAAAAGATTCCTCATTTGAGGTTTTCCTGATGTTTCCTCATAACTAGATTGAGATTAAGCTCTTTGGCTAGAATGCCATAGAAGCAATGTGGTATCCATCTCAGGTATGTCTAAATAACACAGTGTCCACCCCTTGTCTGTGTTAACGTTTATCATTTTATTAAGGTGATGTCTTGTGGGTAACCCCCCATATAGGTACCAAGGAAGGAGAGCTAAGCAGAATCCTGGCACAATTAAGGCCTGAAGAATATCTCAGTTTATAGTGTTACTACTCAGTTATTTCCCTTTATATAATCCTCTCTATATAATCATATATTGGTTCATAGAATGAGTGCCTAAAGAGTATCTTACCACTCAGTTATTTCCATATATATAAAACTATATCTTAGTTCACAATCAGAGGAATGCCTAGAGTAGACACAGTACAGAGCATGAATTAAGGAATAAGGAGCTTATAGTCAGAGGAACGTCTGGAGCAGACACAGTGTAGAGCATGATTTAAGGGAAAACAGTTATACCAGGACAAGAACCCATGGCCCAGGTGGCAGCGCTCCGTATCGTAAAGACACCCGCTGTATGACAGGCCTGGGGCAAGAGCCACTCCTCCTGATAAAGGAGTTGTAGGACCTCGCTCCAGTTCTTGTGGAAGGCTGCTCTCAGACTGGCAATCCACCTTGGTGACTGTGAACTTAATCAGCTCTTGTTACTGTGCTGCTCGAAAAGCATCTTCCCATAGAAGTCATTGGAAGCTGCCAGCAGGTGGCGGTAACCCTGACAGCTCTGCATTACTGTGTGACTTAAAGCATCCCCGCATAAATCTCCTTAGAAGTAGTTTGCCCATAGATAGAGGTATTGCACACTGCACCCTCTTCACTGCGCACGGCCCACCTCCATGCCTTGGTGACCTAATGGGGGCGGACCCCTTACGGCATACATCCCTTGCCTTGATGATTTAATGGGAATGGCCCCCTTGCTGTGCACTGTCCACCTCCTAGCCTAGGTGACCTAATGGGGGTGGACCTTTTGTTTTATTGCCCACGACCCTATCACTGTCCTTAAAGATGATTTCACTCACTGCCCTACCCCCTAACCTATACACGATAAATACGCTTCTGGACATTCGGGGCCTCACCTGATTCCACTCACAGGTGGCATGGCCCCTCGAGCCCAGCTGCATTTTCCTTGTACTTCTGTGTCCTGTCTCTTTATTTCTCGGATCTTGTGCCTCAGCACAGCAAAAGGGACACCCCATGACCCTGTGGGGCCCTCAGCCCTACAATGTCTCTCGTCCCTACTTCATTTGTTTTCTTTTGTAATTAACAGGTGTCTACAGTAGGGTACCACAACATTGTTCTTAATGGCAGAAAGTAGGAATTACCTGTCCATAAATAAAAGAGTGGATTTTTAAAAAATGAGAGTAAATGTGTATAGAAGAATATTACAGCAGGGAAAATGAAAGAATTAGAGCTACATATAACAATTCAATCTGGGGATGGAAGGAATCACAGAGAATGATTCCATTTGCCTAAAGTTTTAAAATATGGAAAAGCATATAATGTATTATTCAGGAGTAAAAATAATATAGTCCTACTTTATTCAAACACACGGGGTAAAACTGTATTGAAAAGAGAATGATAGGCCGGGTGCAGTGGCTCACTCCTGTAATACCAGCATTTTAGGAGGCCAAGGCAGGTGGATCACTTGATGTCAGGAGTTCAAAACTAGCCTGGCCAACATGGTGAAACCCTGCCTCTACTAAAAATACAAAAAATAAGCTAGGTGCGGTGGTGCACGCCTGTAATCCTAGCTACTGGGGTGGTTGAGGCAGGAGAATAGCTTGAACCCAGGAGGCAGAGGTTGCAGTAAGCCGAGATTGCACCGTTGCACTCCTGCCTGGATGACAGAGCAAGACTGTTAGAAAGAAGAAAGAAAGAAAGAAAGAGAGGGAGGGAGGGAGGGAGGGAGGGAGGGAGGGAGGAAGGAAGGAAGGAAGGAAGGAAGGAAGGAAGGAGGGAAGGAAGGAAGGAAAAGTGAATGATAAATGGAAACTTAGGATGGTGGTTTCTTGTGAGGTAGGAGTAGGAACATGGAATGGTAGAGGGTCAGATGCAGGGGAGGGGTTAGGAAGTAAATGTGACAATACTCATTGCATCCTTATTTTTATACCATACATATATTTTGTAAATATTTTATATATTTATATTTCATGTTTTTGTTTTTTTAAAAAACAATTTTTGGAAAAAGAAAAGATTGCAGTAGTGATATGAAGAAAATGTAAAAGCTGAATGAGATGGGGTAGGGGAAGATTGGTTAAGGAGGTGGCTTTGGATGGAGACGTGAAGGGGAGGGCGCCTGTGGAGGGCTGTGCTGGAGAGGGTGCGCAGTGTGTACCTGAGCTTGGAACATGTTGTCTGAAAATCCCCAGTGACCATCATTCCCAATAGCAAAGAGATACAATTTGGAAACACCTCACACAATCACTCAATTGGACAAGGTACTAAGCTCTGGCCACAGCTTCTTCCTCTCTCTTGCCCTCGCCTTACCAACTCCTGCTAAAGGGCCTTTGCCCAGAGCTGTTGTTTTAGATGCGGGTGGATCACCTGAGGTCAGGAGTTTGAAACCAGCCTGGCTAACATGGCGAAACCCCATCTCTCCAAAAAATACAAAAAATTAATCGGGCAGGTGCCTATAATCCCAGCTACTTGGGAGGCTGAGGCAGAAGAATTGCTTGAACTTGGGAGGCAGAGGTTGCAGTGAGCCGAGATTGTGACATTGCACTCCAGCCTGGGCAACAGAGCCAGAGTCTGTCTCAAAAAAAAAACACTTTAAATTTCTTCTCCACATCCATGCCCCTTGGCAATTTGACTTTGCAGCTTCTTCACAAAGAGGGAGAGTCAGTTTTTCCACCCTTTGGATGGGGTTTGGATATGTGATTACTTTTGTCAATGAGACAGCAGAAAAGGTCCCAAATGGGACTCCCCTGTTTCACGGTACTTGGAGCCCTTCCTTCATGTGCTTACATGTAGGCTAGTCTGCTGGAGGATGAGAAACATGTGACCCAATTGTCTTTCCATCGTTTCTATCATTTCTCAATTGTATGAGTGAGGCCATCCTGGATCATTCCACACCAGGAGATTCACGAGCTGTCTTCAGAGGCATGGGAAATCCAGTAGAGCCACAACCAGAAGAATCGTGCAGCTGACCTACAGAATCATGAACTAAATAAACCCTTACTATTGGCCTCTAAGCTGTGGGGGTAGCTTGTTACATAGCACTAGCTAACAGATGCATTGACCAAACGTTCAAGAAGGATAACTGTTCTTTCTTCTTATATTGTTCCTTCCCTTGTCCTTA